TTTAAATTTGCATTACTGAGAAACTCCCCTAAAAATTCAAAATTGGTGCTAATGGAATTTTTTTTAAAAACACTTCTTTTTTAAATGCAGTAATTCGAAATATTTATTTTCTTAAGTCTAGGAAACTTCAAATAGATGTTCAATTGATTTTCAGCTGATCTATCAGTCAGGTCCAAAGGTGTGGCAAAATAAAACCTTATGTCTCTCAACTATAACTATAAATGGTAGTATTAACATTAGAATGTGTGTATGACACTCTGGCATCTCATTATGGAATGGAGGTAACTGGATTCACAAAAGCTAATGCCAACTGTGCATGCTAATAGAATATTTCATTTACAGAGAAAGTTTCTCTATGGATCCCAAAGTTACAGCTTTATATTAGCAACAAGATAAATCTTTGGTAGGTTAGGCATCCATCTCAAACTGATTCATAATAAGGAAGATGATTAAAACATCTGTGATGACCAGGAAAATCAAATTACAAATAGCTTAGTGACCAACAGTGAGGGAGGGCCCAAAAACAAACTGACCAAATTAGGGTTTATTCTATAGCTTTTGGACAATGCCAAAGCATCAAGCATTTTCAAAACTTTCCGCTCTCTCAGTATCCCTTCCTCTCTGCAGGTGGGTGATAGAATTCTTTTATTTTTTGTCCACTAAACATTATAAGACAAGATAGTAATTGTTTAAAGAAAGGATGCAGTCATTAGCAGCCTCCAGAAATCTCTTATCTGGAAAATTATACAAGAAGGAGAAACAAATATTTGAAAACAAACATAGAAATGGTGAAAGATGGTTTGAGCCCTGTGATGTTCACACACACACAAAAGCAAAAATTTTTCCCGACAAAAAATGAAATATTTATTTCCCTCCACATATTCTGCATCACATAGATTGAAAAACAGTAGTTGAGCTGCTTTCTTCTCTTCTCACTGTTACTGAAAAGTTAATGAAATTCTTTCTCTAAAGCCAAGCTTTGTATCTTGCCCATTTTGAGATTATATGTGATCATCCTCTGACTATAAGCAGCTCCAATTTGAAATTCTCTCTTTTCAAGACTTTTGAGAAAAAATTCAGAGAATTCCTTCTATCATGACTTTTTCTTATAAGTGGTTTGTTTAAAGAAAGGGATCAACTGATGGGAATTGTTTGTTTCTTTCCATTTGTCTAGTTACTGAGGACATTTTGTAAACTCTGCTGAACCCAGAAGGATCCAGATTTTCTTAGGTGCATGAGAGGGTTTTGTTTAATATCTTGAGTGTTTTTGCATGCACTGAACAAACTCCTGGTCATTTCAGCCTGCAAATGAAAAACAGAGTATAGGATTTTTTTTTTTAATGATGGTAGCCATCATGCTTTAAACCTGCAAGGCTAGAATTCAGGAGGGGAGAGTGTAAAAAACAGGAGAGGCTGCCATAAACTACAGCATACTGCTCAGTTATAAGTTCAGTGAAGCAGGTTTGGCATGGGTCTTTCAGCTTGGGGAGATTTTGCATTCATTCACAGCAAGCCTGGTTAAATCTGACTCCCTGCTCAGCTCAGCTCTGGCCCAAGTTCTTTGATATGGCTATGTTTAACAGCCCTTTGAAGTAAATGGGGGTCACGAAATGAGCACTAAAATGTTTATTCAAACAATCCTCTTGTCTGAATTCTTTTAGCAAGGCTACCCCTGTCCTTGAACTGTGGACCTGAGGTTAGGGAAAATAATCAGAATTTTGAGCTTACATTTATGCACTATAACCTCTGCATAACTAGATCTATAGCCCACTGTGAAGCAAGGCACAACACAGACCCAAATTGCAAAAGGCCAAAGTCAACTATTAATTAATTTTTCATGATGCCTGAATGGACAGGAGAAAGGAGAAATCAATAATCAAGACTTCCATCCTTCCTTGATGTTCCCCAGAGCTCAATCCACAGTACCACTTTCTGAGTAACCATTCTAAATAATGTGAATGCACAAATACAATCTCTGAAAAACTAAGCTAGTCGAAAAAAAGAAATAAACCTGAAGGCAAGATAAGATTTAAATATAAATTGTATTACTCTTTCTAACGTATACTCACTGCCATCAGAGAAGCAATGACTCCATAAAATTTCTAGATATGTAAAAGGCTAGGAAAATTAGCAGGTAAGAAGAGGGCTGGCACATTTTTATGAACCTAAAGAGGTTCTTCCAACTTCTCAAAGACTTTAACTTTCATTCCTTGCTTCCAGCACAGAGTTTACTGTACACATGATTGAGTAAATTTGGTTTATTTCCCCAACACCATCAAGGGCTCTCTGCCACCCATACCACTGCCCATCGATCTCAATTCTAATCAAGCAGTCAAAAAGCACTGATGAAATACTTACATGCTCACACTACACTCACACTAGATATGGCACTATCATACAAACCCAATACATGATCATCCATCCTATCCCTTTCTCCCTCCCTTCTAGGCCTTGAGCAATGTCTTCCCAAAACAAAAGTAGGAGGGTTCAGAAACTCATGACTCACATTTGCTACATGATCTTATGGATTGTTCTACTAATATTTCTTATACATGGGGGGAAACTGGGGGAAGGAGATGTCACTGTGACCCATTTTATCATCCTACCCCCTTCAGCTATATCTGACCAGGGCTTCTCAGATCTGCACTTGACTTGTCAAATGCCAAATCACTGATTGTCTCATTTTCCCACATACACAACCCCTAAACATAATGTCATCATAGATTAACTCTGAAATTATATAACCACTTTCTCACTAAACATATTCACTACCTCTCAAAAGTTAAATTAAATACTACAGACTTAAGTGTTACAGAAATTCAAAAAAGAGAGAGATCAATGCGGATTAATAATCTGGGAAGGCATCATAGAAGAGGACAAGAGCTGAGGCTCAGATTTATCACTCTGCTCTTAAACCAGTTTCCTTTCCAAATAATGACACTAGTGTTTTCCCAATAATTCAAGCTTGAAGTCTGAGTCATTTTTGCTCCTTCTTCTGCATCCCTTATCTAGTCTAATTCATCTTCCCATTTCCATTGCCTTTATCTTATCATTCCTCTCATCCTCTCCAGATCTACTGCAACAGTCTCTTAACAAATCTCTGTCTCTGGTTTCCAAATACTATCATCCTCCAAACCCTCCCCCCCCCACCAACTTTCCTATATTACTGACAGCTAATCTTCCCAAAGATTCCAATTTCATCATGTCACTCTCTTGTTCACAGGCCTCCAATGGTTCCACACTGCCTATAAAATAGGCAAACTTCTCAGTCAGGTATTAAAAACTGACACAAAATGTTGCCCCATCTCTATCTATCCACTCTCATCTCTCACTGCTCCCCAACACAAAGTCTTCCACTGACAGATGCTTATCATAACTCACGTATATGTCAAAATCATCCCCTAGTCTCTATACCTTTTCCTGAGTTATTGTCCTCGAATGTCCTCTCTCTCTTCTCTACCTTCCCAAGTGTTACCTATCCTACAAGACCCAGCTCAGGTCTCAGAACCACCATGAGGTTATCCCTGATCACTAATTCATATTAGTCTCCCCATTCTTTGGACCATAACATCACTTATTCTCTCTACTGCTCATTCTGACTCTTAATTGTATTCTGCTTTGTATTGTTTTTCTAACATTGTGCAAATATAATGTATCTATATCATAACTTTCATCTGGATATGCCTTTTCTTCTCAATTAGATTGTAAAATCCTAGAAGGCAGGATCTATAACTTAGGCTTCTTCTTCATTCCTTTTGGAACTCAGCACATTGCCATGAATATATCAATAAATATTTGAATGAATTAATTACAACCAATGGGAAAGAGAAAAACTGAAAAGAAAATCAATCAACAAGTATTTATGAAGAAACTACTCTTGTCACTAAGACTGAGCTAGGCAAGTTACTCCAGGTATCAAGGGAAAGAAGAGGCATGAACAAAGGTAAAAATGCCAAAATAACTTTGATAGAGAAGGAGGTGGGCCTCACATAAATGTGGATTCCAACTACAGAATAAAGAATAATATTTTCTCACTCTTTGACCTTTGGTCAAATTATTGCAAGTTGTGAGTGGAGTAATAATTAATTAATTTTGCCTATAGGTTTTATTTTGGTATCAGAAGGAAGAAACAAAGGCTAATGATTTTTCCTACTAATGAAGATCACCATTTTATTAACAATTGTGTCCCCAAGTAATACTACTCAAGAATTTTTAATATTCTCCACTGCTTCTGTATAAAATTCAAATGGCTAAATCAAGCTGGGATTAAAAACCTTTTACAATCTGACCTCTATTTACTTTTCCAACTTTGTGTCCCATTACTGGACGAGGAGGCAGTTAGCTGACTCAATGGATAGAGCCAAGGGCCTGGAATCAGGAAGATCGAAGTTCAAATCCAGCCTTGGACACTTAGTAGCTGTGTGATCCTGGACAAGTCACTTAATCTCTGTTTGCCTTAATCCACTGAAGAAAGAAATAGCAAACCACTGCAGCATCTTTACCAAGGAAACTCCATGGACAGCTTGGTCCACAGGATCATGAAGAGTTGGACACAACTCAACAACAACAACATCAACACTGGCCTAGATGTTTCATTAAAGCTGTACTGTCTCCTCAATTCAATCAGTGGGGGTATGGGGGTGGGAGGTGCACGTGTACCCACACAGTGCTGGGAATAGCAATGATAGCAATGTTTTGATAACACAGTATTTAATGACGTCAGGGAAAACAAATGAATTGTTGTGTGTTCACACACACAAAAACTAATACTACTACCTACTGTTTTTCTAGCGTGTTTTACATTATTCCCTCTACGCAGTCTACATTCCTGTCAAACTAGTCTACTCTTCTTTCCCCTTTGAATAGATGTAAAGTGGGCCATGGGGAAGATTACCACTTCTTGCAAAACACACACACACACACACACACACACACACACACACACAAGTCTAAAGTTTATTTTATTTATATTTTGGTTTTCTTTTTTTACTTTATTTCAGGACCTGGTGGATTATTTAAGAGTTTATTCACATAGTGCTGTTTATGCTACATCTATGTCTGCACCTATAGCAGAGCAAATAATCAGGTCTATGAAATCTATCATGGGACTAGACGGAACAACAAATGGTAAGACAACAAATGTATAACAGATCATATTTACTTTGCCTCACAGGGCTGTTTCTGTCTTTCTTGTGCCTGGACAAAATTCAACCATGTACCAGCATTTTATTTGTACTTTGTTATGATATATCTCACATAAAATGAGTTTCTGTAAATCAGATTGTTATAAATGAACTGTACAAGATACCAATTTAACAAATCTAGGGCAAATAATCCCATTTGAATTTACTATACCAATTTAGTGGGTTTTATTTTTGTTTTTATGCTAGTTTATATATTACTTGTTTTTTAAATATGGCATACCTGTTGGGTACTCTTCTCTCTTAAAATGCAACTTCATGTTGCCTGCACTTTATTAAGCCCTAGGGAGAAAGAAAGTACACAGGAAGAGTTCCTACTCCCTTTTAAAAGAGTCATCAGTAGTCACAGAAGAAAAATGCAATGATATAGTAAATGTAAAGCTTACAATTTATTCGGCCTTTTACAGCTACTACTCTACTAAGACTTTCACTTGAAGTAAACAAATGTGCAGAGAACATTATTGTGAGGACCTAATTTTTCCAAATGTTTGCTTTATTTAAATTGAAGTGAGGAATGAAGAGCACAGGTTGGGAATCCTGCCATTACTTTCTTTTTTCTGCCTAGAAAACTAACTTAGTAATTACCTTACACGGTAAAGTTACCCCAAACTAAAAGGTCCACACTATTGCCCTGCTATTGCTACTTAAGGGATCTGAGGAGACTAGCATTAAAGCCTTCATCTTTGGCTCACTCTGCTGTGCAACTGTATTCGAAGCCTGAAAAGCTTTGTTTCATCCAGGGTTTGGGGAGTGATTTGCCAGATCTGTTTCTTGATGAATGTCTTCACTTTAATCTGCAATGCAAAGTCATCCGCTTCAAAGACAGGCAAGCAACAAGAATAAGGTCAATGTTTCTTTGATGCCATGGTTCAAAGATGAAATAGCAGTGCCACTAAAATGACAGTGTTTATGCAAAAACAGCCACCCTTCACTCCAAAGCTAGGCTGGTGAGGAGTTAATGCATAGACTGAGGGACTGCAGACAAACAATGTAGAACATATGCGCTGTAGCCCCTTTTTCATCTCCTGTGTATAATACTTTACACAGTTAAATGAACCCAGAGAGAAGACTTGATTTTTCATCCTAACAAATGTTGGGTGGCCTCTAAGAGCATGCAACTCAATAATTCCTTGAGGACAGGGTCCCTGTCTCATATCTATTTTGTATCTTCCTCACCTCCCTCCCCACCCCCTCAGATCAAGCATCCTGCTGAGAACTTAATAAATACATGTTCATTAGACAAAAGCCAAAAAATTATTTTTTCCTCCAATGAAATCTCATAAGAAGCAAATTCACATGCCAGCTAGGACTAAATGAAATGACAGAGAAATGGAACAAAGATCAAGCCTTTCTATCAAATATGAGCATAGTCCCCATGATTCAGTTAATCAGTTCTTCATACCAACTCAAATTGGATTTCCCAGAGACATATCAAACTCAAAATGTCCAAAGTAGAACGAGCTATCTCTCAAAACCCATGCTTCTTCCAAACTTCCCTGTTTTTGTCTAAGGCTACCACCATTCTCCATGTCTCCTTGATTCATAAACTCTTTACTCTTCCTCATCTTCCTTATTCAGTCAGTTACCAAATCTTGCCATTTCTAATTCTTCAACATCTCTCACATTTGACCTATCTCGTATGACCACAACTTTAGACCAGGTCCTCACCATCTCTAGAATATTATTATGGCTTCCTAATTGGTCTCCCTGCCTCAAGTATCTCCAAACTGTACTTCACCCTTCACACAAGCTCCCAAAATGATTTTCCTTAAATGTAGATCTAACCATATCACTCCCCTCATCAATAAACTGCAGGGACTCCCTGTTGTCTCTAGGGAAAAAAATTAACTCCTCTGTTTAGTTTTTAAAGCAATTCACAACCTGGATCCAATCAATTTTTGCACATTTACTGTACTCCACCTCTTCATTCCCACTTTCCCATTCAGACAACTGACCTTCTCTCTATCACTCATAAACAGTACTATTATTATTGCTCACCTCCCATCCCCATGTCTTTGCCCCATTAAAATATAAGCTCTTTTTGAGTAGGGATTGTTTTATTCTTTGTATTTGTGTCATCAGTGCCTAGGATATAACAGGCACTTAATAAATACTTGTTGTTTGAACTTGTCCCTTTCACTATCAGATAACCCTACTTTCTATCCCCCATTCTGTCCTATACTATTGCTACTGTGTTTTCTGATGAGGCCAAAAACCATATACCTTCTCCTTGGTCCTGAAGTACTGAAAGCCTGGATTAAGCATGTAAGTACTAAGCCAGGTGTGGGGCCTCAATGCCACATGTGGCCCTCTAGGTCCTCAAGTGAGGCCCTTTGACTGAATTCAAACTTCACAGAACAAATCTCCTTAATAAAAAGATTTGTTCTGTAAAACTTGGACTCAGTCAAAAGGCTGCACCCGAGGACCTATAAGGCCACATGTGGCCTCGAGGCTGCAGGTTCCCCACCTCTGTACTAACCATTCAGCAGCTGCCTCATTTATCACCAAGGCCGAGGTATGAAGTTAAAGCTTATTCAAAATGCAACCTACCTCTAAAAATAAAAAGCTGTAATTAAGTTGTATATGAAATCCATAAAGCAACATTGAGAATTAAGGCAAAGACAAGGAAAAAATGTAATTTTGCTTCAATTATGTACATTCAAGTAAAACTTTTCTAATTGCTCATCTTCTACATGACCATCTCTCCCATTCCCATCAGTAGGTGTTCTAAGCCTTCTCTCTTAAATCTCTCCAAATTTCCACCACCCCCTCTGTCATCAGATGTCTTCAATTCCTAATTTACTGAGAAAATATATATCATGCACCGTAACACCCCTCATCGGCCCTACTCTACAACTTAAATTTGTCTATACTATCATCTATCCTCTATGCCTTGACTCCTGTCTCTGAAGAAGAGATGAACTTTCTTCCCAAAGTCAACCTCTATTACCTTCTCTTTTTTAAGAAACTTTCCCTCCAAGGTTATCTCTTAATTGCTAAATCTGATGGTCTTTGGGAATGTATCCTCCATCAACTCCACTGACCTTTCCATAGCTTTTGATACTGTTGACCACCCATCTTTCTAGATAATCTTTCCACAAAAAATCCTTTGTCTATCCATCTCCTATCTGTCTGACTACTTGTCAGTCTCCCCTGCTGCCTCATCTTCCATTTCCTGACTCTACAACAAAGGTGATACTTCGGGCTCTTTGTTGGACTCTCTTCACTTCTGTCTCTATACACTCTTTGCTAAAGCTCTAATCACCACTTCTGGATTTAATCATTATCTCTATACAGATAACTCCCAAATCTATATATCCAACCCCAATTTCTCTCCTGAACTGTACACCATCAATAGCCTGATGGATGTCTCCACCAGAACACAGCATATTTGTTTCAAACTGAACATGCCTCAAACAACTCAAGTAATTTATGAAGTACTTACTATAGGACAGCATTGAGATAAAGCACTGGAAAGAATTCATTTTCTTCCCCTCACCCTCCTTAAAACTGTCGGTCCAAACTCCTCCTATCCCTCTTGAGGGTTCATTATCCTATCAGTCAACACAGGTTACCACCAACTTCAGAGTAAATCTTTAATCTTTCTTCTCCTTCATTTCTCATGTCCAGTAAGTTGTCAAATTTTGTCAATGCTAATTCAAAATCTCAGACAACTGACCACTTGTCTTCAAGTAGCCACCATCCTAGTGTTAGTTCATATCCCCTCTTTCTTCCCTGAATTATTCTGATAGCCTCTTAATTGGTTTTCTTGCTTATGATCTTTCCTCTCCCCAAACCACCTTCCATACAACTGCCAAAATAATTCTCCTAAAGCACAAGTCTGATTATATCACTCCTATATTCAAAACTATTCAGTAGCTACCCCTTTGTCTATACAACAAATACTAATTTCTAAGTCTTCCATGCTCTGGCTCTTACCTCTTTTTCCAGTCTTGTTTGCTACTACTCTCTTTCATGAACTCTATACTATAATCAATCTGGACTACCTGCTGTTCCTAGAATTGGATGACTCCAAACTTGATTCATTCCCACAAGCTGACCCTATGCCTCAAATGCACTCCCATCTCATCACCATCTCTCATATTATTATCTTCCTTACAGGCTTCCTTATGCCATTTCCTTCACGAAGTCTTCTTTAATCTACTCAACTGTTGATATTCTCTTTTTTCCTCAACATTCCATGTATTACAATGGACACAGCATGTATCTATAATATGTGGTGACAGTCCCACTGTCCCCTGCTCTAGACAGACCATAAGATCCTAAATTAAAGGTAGATTAAGGTAGATTAAACCTAGATTAAAGGTACAAGGGACCTAGAGATGATTCACATCTTCACTTTATAAATGTAGAAACTCAGGTTCTGAGAAGCTAAGGGACCTGTCCAGGGTCACCCAGGCAGTAAATGGCACCTCTAGAGTACTATATTCTGTTTGGGGCACACATTCTAGGAAGATACTGGTCAGGAAGTATTCACAGAGGAGCTAGCAAGGTGAAAGGCCTCAAAGTTCATGTCATATGAGGACTGGTTGAAGAAAATGGAGAAAAGAAGACTCAAAGGAATGTCAAAATCTCTAAGTACTTGAAGGGCTGTCAAATGTAAGAGGGATTAGATTTGTTCTACTTGGTGCTGGAAGACAGAACAAGAGGTAATAGTTCAAAGTGGTAAGTTTAAGCTTACCATAAGGAAAAATTTTGTAATATTAGATCAACCCATAAGGAGAATGTGATTCCTTGTAAGGTGTTGGATCTCCCTTCACTGGGAATCTTCAAGCAGAGGCTGGATGACTACTGGATGCAGTAAAGGGAATTCTTTCTCAAATACAAGTTGGACTAAGTGGCCACTGTTGTACCTTCCTCTGGCATTCTGTGATTCTGTGCACTGAATTAAATTACTTATGCAGA